ATGTAAATGTCACTAATATGCCCTAGCCACATGCAACAGGTTACATGGAAATTTTTCAAGACAAAGATTCATCGGATGAACAATTCTGGCGAAGAAGAATATCGTTAGATTTGATTGGTAGTATTAAATGGGGTGAGAAACCGAAATTTTCAAAGGCAAGCATTTAATAACAGTAATATCACTGCTCCTGTGGACTCGGAAATACTAAATTAATTGATGAAGTCCAAACGCTGCCTTATTTTCTGTACTTGTAAGTTGTAACAGCACAGCAGGAACCGATTTTCCTCCCGGAAAACGGTTCTCCCCTCCTATGGACTCGGGACCTTCTTCTTACCCCAACACCCACGAAAGATAAAACCGAAAAAACCCATCTTTTATGACTCATTGCCTTTATCAATAATCAATTTAATCGTTGTTCAGCTTCCCTCACTCCTCACCTCTCACCATTAGCCAGTTTTCATCTCTCTTCCCTATGCTGCAAATTTTGGTTGCTTAATCAGTAGATATATCATAGCCTTTTTGTTTTGTATGTAACAGAGGAAAGTGGGGTTTATAGATGAAGACATGGTGTGCATGAAACTAGGATCCAAATCTGAGGTGTTTCACCTTCAGAGGCAAAGCTGGTTTGTTGTTTCTGTCTTGTTCTTCCTATTTTATTATTTTTTAAAAAAAATTGTTTTCTTAAAGGATGTCACTTTAATGTTAATGGAAGACAAAAAATAGTTAGAATCTTGAATGGGGTTTTGAGATGGCAATGGTATTTGTTCATGATCCTTGACATCAGATGAGATGGTGGCTGCTCTTTATGAAGTATGAACTCTGCTTGTATAGGGTCTAGATGGAGAAGGAGATAAAGGGAGATAGATAATTGGGAGAAGCATAAAGGGTAATTGTTGTGGGAAAGATTGACTTATGAGATTATATTTGATTTGTTTTACAGGGTGTGTTCAACTGGTCTGCCCAGCGATGTCATTGTTGAAGTGGGAGATTTTTCCTTCCATCTCCATAAGGTATATTTTTCTCTGACAGTCTTTACTTTTGCTATGTTCTATTTCTTGTTCCTTCATTTATAGCATCTATGGCCATGATGTAGACATCATAGCTTGAAGATGATGCAAAGCTTACTTTCAGATGATGCTAGACTGTCTTATAGCACAATTTTCAGAGTGTAAAGCTTCTGCCTTGCATCGTTTTTCATTGGATTTCTCCTCCTTGTTTCTTAGGACCACAATGGGCATTTATTGTCTCTTCTCGTACTCACCAATCATTAAAATTATTTCATTTTATTCAGCTTTCTTAGTTACTAATCAGATTGGATTTCTTCCCCTTCATGGCATGTTTACTAGTTTCCCCTGATGTTGAGGAGTAGAGTTTTAGAAATTCTCATAAGTGAGGATGAGAAAAAGTGTGTTTTGCATCTTCATGACATACCTGGTGGAGCCAAAACCTTTCTGCTGGTAGTGAAATTCTGTTATGGTGTCAAACTAGAGCTCACTGCATTAAATGTAGTCAGTCTACGGTGTGCTGCTGATTATCTTCAAATGAGTGAAGAATATGGAGAGGGAAATCTCATTGCACAAACAGAAAATTTTCTCAGTGAGATATATGGTAGCTGGACAGATTCTATTAAAGCCCTTGAGACCTGTGAAGAGGTTTTACCACACGCAGAAGAACTTCATATTGTTTCGCGATGCATCAATTGCTTAGCAACGAAGGCTTGTGCAGATTCGAGTTTGTTCAGTTGGCCCATGTCAGGAAGTGGTGCTGAACAAAATCCAGATGGTATTGTGTTATGGAATGGAATACGTGTAGCAACTAATTCAAAGCCTGTGAGTGATGATTGGTGGTATGAGGATCTGTCCTTCCTTGGATTATCTCTGTATAAGAGCTTCATTCTAGCTGTTGAATCAAGAGGCATAAGGCCAGAGAGGATTGCAGGGTCTCTCATCCACTATGCAAAAAGGCATCTTCCCTTGGGTAGGGAATCAGTCGTCCAGAATGGGAGCCATGCTGCTACCGCATCAATCCTTTCTGCCCCATCTGATACGTATCAAAGGAATCTCCTTGAAGAAATAGTATGGTTATTGCCTAATCAAAAGGGTGTCACCCCAACTAAGTTTTTGCTGAGGCTTCTACGGACATCCATGATTTTACATGCTAGTCCATCATGTCGAGAGAATCTGGAAAGAACGATTGGAGCTCAGTTGGATCAAGCAGCTTTGGAAGATCTTGTGATTCCAAATATGGGATACTCAGTGGAGACCCTTTATGATATAGACTGTGTTCAACGGATTGTAGATCACTTCATTCTGGTAGATCATGAAGAAATTGAATATGGTTCTAATTGTATGGATGATGAGAGGCAGTTAATGGGAGTTTCCCATTCACTGAGCCCAATGACAGTGGTTGCGAATCTGGTGGACGGTTATCTAGCTGAGGTAGCACCAGATGTTAACTTGAAGTTAACAAAATTTCAGTCACTTGCTGCTGTTATTCCTGATTATGCCAGATCATTAGATGATGGAATTTATCGTGCAATTGATATATACCTCAAGGTAAAGCTTCTTCTTTGAACACCATTGCTTCTAAGTTTGATTATTCCAAGTGGTTTGTTGATTCCATCTCTCTTGCATAAATTTGATATGTTTTGTCATGTACAGGCACATCCCTGGCTAACAGACTCCGAGAGAGAACAACTCTGCCGGCTCATGAACTGTCAGAAGCTATCTTTAGAAGCCAGCACCCACGCAGCCCAGAATGAGAGGCTACCACTGCGATTTATAGTCCAAGTTCTGTTCTTTGAACAACTTAGGCTCCGCACCTCAGTTGGTGGTTGGTTCTTTGCCTCTGATAACCTTGAACACTCGCGGAATCCAAGTGGGAATCTTGCCATCACCAGAAACGATATTCCTTCGCACTCAGGCACCATGGAAAACCATATTGTGACAGTTGATGAGATGAAGGAGCGTGTATTTGAGCTGGAAAAGGAGTGTTTGAGCATGAAAAAGGAAATTGAAAAGCTTGTGAAGACAAAGGGAGGTTGGAATACTTTCTCGAAAAGGTTTGGATTTAGATCGAGGTCGTCTGATCCTAAAACACCAAGGTCCTCCGATCTAAGGACATCAGAAGATTCAGACCTCCATGATCCCAAAGCTTCATCTACAACACCAGCGCCATTGATGAATGGAAGAGAAAATGGCTAAGGCGGGAAATCAGGAGAACTAGTTTTAAAACCAAATTAGAAACAGAGTGTTTTTGGCTTAACATCTTACCTCCTGGTACACTTCCAAAGTTTGGTTTCTTTGTTTTTGGTTTAGTTAATTAGTTTATGTTTTTGGCCTTCGTTTGGTTAATGAGTTATAAAAAGTGGTAATTTTGCTTAGAAATATATTTTGACAAAAATCATCTTCCATGTGACATCCATTGATGACAGCAGTCTGTATCTTCATTTTCAAGTCAGACACCAGCATACAACCACAATGCAATAAGAAAACGAGACAGACACTTCCAAGATAGAAGTATGGTACTCAAACTCTCTATCAATGGCATCTCTAGACTTATTATTGTACACTAGTAACGACCATCTAGATGTCCGGAAAATCTCCATGTATAAGCCTCAATAAAGAATCTAAAACGAAAATTGTGATCAGATACTAGGGTCCGAACATTTGGGCAACATTTTTGTGTCACAAAGGGTTCAGCTGAAATAAGACAGAAATCTCCAGCAGCTGGCTTCCAAAATGAAGGTTACTGCAACTCAAATGGCAGAAGCAGAAGGTGGAAACATGTTTTCAAGAACGTTTCAGTCATACCAGCCACCTTCCCTTTCCCAGCTACCCTCTCTTTCTCCCACCATCTCAGCTTTCCTCTGCTCTTTCAGCTTCTCGCAAAGTTGCAGAATGTCACGATTAAAGAAACGTGCATGGACAAACCTTTTTTCCTCAGCTTGTATTTCCTTGATAGCACTAGGATATGGGTTTGGAGGAATTCTGTTTCCCTGAAGACGACAAACCTTTTTCAATTGAGCATATGCCTTCTTTCTTGCCTTTTTCTCGGCTCGGTATTCCATCTAGAAGGTTACACAGGCAGTAATTAGATACAACATTAAAGAAGCAACTTTTTATTTTTTTTGGTCCTGCACAACAAATCGGCTAGCAGGGATGGGAGTTTGAGAGAATAAATAAAATTGAAAAAGCAAAGTTCAAGAATGTAGGAAACTGACATCAGCTACAGAAATGGCTTGCTCCTCACTAACTCCTTGCTCTTTCAACTCAAGCACCCGCAAGCCAAATAAACGGGCTGGAGGTGGATTATAACCAGCAATTCTACATGAACATAAATCATAAATTAGTCCACTCATAAATAATATCTAATCTGACATGCAAGGAGAAGAATGACAAGAGTGTAAGGAAAAAAGCTACTGGCTCAACAAAAGAAAAGAAAAGAAAAGAAAAGAAAAAAAGTTCATGACAGTCAATGCTCCATCCGGACAAAGAAGCAGAACTCAAATACAGTTAGAAAGCCCTTTTTTTTTTTCTTGTTCTACTGCAGTTAGAAACCATTAACCAAAAAACACATTTATACAGTTAGAAAGCACAAGCAATGTAATTTTATTTATCTAGTCCTTCATTCAAACCAATGCAAACTTTCAGTCTTAGCTCATATGACCGCTAAAAGCAACTAATTAACCATTCAATTTGTTAAATCAAGCAACTACTTACGAATACATGCAACTGAAATCTTCACAATTGACATTGCATTTCTGAAGAATACAGTTTCATGATATTCAGAGAATGAACAATGAAAGTAGCTCCAAGACGCTGTATGTAAAGAAACAAAATAATACTTGATGGCATCTTCGTGTTTCGACTCTGGATGCCTCCTGAAGAACTTCTGCACGTAGACATCCTCTGGGAGGCTAATCTTTTGAACTTTTCCCTCAGCACGAGGAAATGTTGCAGGCGGAGCCCTGAGTGACAGAAAGCAATCTCAAGATCAAGAAGTTTTTCAAACTTGATATCAAAATTGATATCAAAATTCTGGACTATAACATGATCAAGTTGCTAAAGGTTGTCCAACAGAATGGCTTCAACACAAATTCTGTAAAGAAAATAGCAACTAACAAAGAAAATACAAATGGTTTTCAACAAGTAAATTGGATAATAGAGAGCAGCACGGTTGCCCAATTAATCTCTCCCCAAATATGATCAATTAAGTCCCAAAATTGCTAACTTGTTGCCTTTTATTTCCAAGAAAAACAAATCTGGGTTTGAATCATTACTTGAAACGATAATCGAATCCATTGGCACTAGATTCAAAGAGAAGTCTTTTGCGGTCTAGTACCAAGAAACATTGCGGGGAACAGTGATATGAGAATACAAGCTCAAAGGGGGTTAATTGACATAGAGGCTCCACATCAGAAAAGAGACAATTTTGAACACTGGTTGCTAGAAATGAAACAATCTAGAGAGAAAGAGAGACAGAGAGCGTACTGTTCCATGGCTTTGAGCCAAACAGGCTCGGCCCTCGCTAACCCTTTGACGAGCTTTCTAGTTTTGGTTAATAGATCTCCTTTCATGAACGACATCTCTGCTTCTTTCTCCTTTCTCCTTTCTCCGTCTCCTCTGCTTTCCACTTCCTTTCCTTCCCCGCTGCTATTTCACTTTTCGCAGGTCACTGGAGGTTCAGGTTCTCATGCGCAGCTGAAACGATGACGTTTCAACCCTCTAAAATCTGGGCCGAGCCCTAAGTTTTGTCTTTGGCCCATAGCTTTTTTATTGGGCCAAAGTTACCGTGTTTTTCTTTTCTCGTCTCTTTCCTTTCGCGTCTTTCTCTCTGAATTTTAGGCTTTTGCAGATTTCTCGACTCATCTTCTGGCTTCAGGTATGCATACAAGAACGTCGAATTTTTGTGTTTTTAATACAATTTTAACGATTTATTGATATCTTCATCTGAGAAATTTGTGGGTCATGGTTACCGCATTCAAGTTCTGCTTCTTCTTCCTTATTTGTTTATTTATTTATTTTTATGCCCTTTTTCAATTAGGTTCAGATTTATGAGTTTTGTGTTCTCGCTTAACTTACTTCAGTGTTGAAAGCTAAGTCGAAAGCAAGAGATACCCATCAACCATTTGATGCAAAGATTTCGACTTTCCCATCTTTAGTGAATTGTACCCGCTGAGACAGGTAAATTTGAGGCCTTTTCAATTATCAAAGCTACAAGTTATGAAACGGGAGCTTGACTGTGAAACTGATATTGCTTTGCAGGTTGTCTTATGGTTTGAAAACATGATATCTATTGAGGGGCCGATGGGACAGACTCAGAAAATTCAGAGTTCAGCTTCGTCCTTCAAAAGGTTGGGTAGGAAGTATCCATTTATCAGATATGGGCTTCCAATGATTTCACTCACTGTCTTTGGTGCAGTTGGCCTGGCTCATCTCTTGCAAGGCAGGTTAGGTATTTTTCTTTAGCAATCTCCATGAATTGTCTAAGACACAATTATGCTGTTGAATTCTTTGACTATATCTGTTTTATTTCTAGTTCATTTTGTGTGCTTAAAGAATGAGGTCTTAATATTATGAAATTGAATTTTTTTTTGAATGAAATTTATGATCAATTATTATTGTTGATTTGAGTTGGAAGTTTCATGAGTAGAGAAGGCCTTATAACAGCATTCCATCCTTTTCAACCTCTGACGTGATGGTTCTATGAAGAGGATTGACAAGGAAATATGCCCATATACCTATTTGACTGTCTTTTTTCATTTGGGATTTTTCCTTTAATTGCCAGGATAGGAAGCTTTTTAGAAGTAGTTGAATCATTTGCACCAAACTGGAAGTAATTCTAAAGCAATGTCATAGATTCAGAGTTTGTTCAATTGAAAGACTTATAGCATGTAATAGCTTCTAAGTTTGAATTCTGTTTGTAGTGCTAAGACAAATCCCTCTTGGTTGTTAAAAACGTCCATCTTAGTATGGTAGTGAAGCCAATAACCAAAGTAGCAGGTTAGAATTTGATTACGTAATTCTTTATACTGGCCCTTTGATTAGTCTATTTAGCAGTTAAGAGTCTCAACCTTAGGTTTTTTCTTCTTATCAAATATTAGATGGTGGTTTGGTGCTGAGCAAATCAGGAAGCTGATTAAAGAACAAAAATTTGACAGTGTTTTTAACATTTTATAATGTCTGTAATCTTTTACTTTCTTTCTTTCTCCATAAGAATGTAATCCAAACTCATGAATTTCCAAAATTTCCATTGAGGCTCCTCATTCACTTCTTATCTGGTCCTGTTATGAGTTGCAATCATCAACTTCCTCAACCTTCTTATAAGAGTTTCTGGAATTACCTGACTTTTGTTGTAGTATCCATTGGAATCACTATTATCTCTAGCCATTTATTTCATTGTTATCATTATTCTTCTTCCCGTATTTCCCTTTTCCTTCTTGTCCTTCTAAAATATAGTGGGATTTTGTAGTTCAGTAAGGATATTACAAAGGTGAAAGAAGACCAGGAATGGGAAATCCTTGAGGCAAGGAAAGCATTATCAAGAACAGGACCTGTTGGTGCATATAAGCCGAAAAAAATTTCATTGGAGGATGAGTTAAAGGTATGGTGGTTTTGCTTTCAGAACTAAAGTTCATGTGGGAATTTGTAGCTAACTTGCTTCTTCTGTTTTCTAGGCTTTGCAACAGAAGGTTGACATAAATGACTACGAGTACAAGAAAATTCCTAGGCCAAATGAAGGCAAGTCAAGCTAGCCTCTGGCTCTCTATGCCCAAGCCTATTTCTTAGCCGTAATAAAACATTAGCGACGGTTGGAAACTGTCCTGGTTTGTAATTTGAATACAATTTTGATAGAATGACATTGGTGTTTTCCATTCTGCAAGGAAATTTACATTTCCCAAGTCCATTGTCTTGATTGCTATATTCACTTATACCTGCACATTTTTGGTGGTTGATACTTGATACGTATAATAATCAAGATTGTTTTCTATTGGAGAAACGTTACAACAATCACAGTCCACATATGAATAAGAGAGACAAGAAAAATATATAAGAAAAAGCAGAAAGGCGATCAATATTCCCCAAATTTGTTGCATAAACAGAGAGTACAGAATATTGCCTAAACATAGTTCATGGTCATACATCATGATGTAATACATGCGTGCATGTGCATGAATATACAGATTGCGTATATCATGCTGCAGGTGGGGACCTTCCTGGAGGGTGAGCCTCTGGACAGCAGCAGGCGGATAGTCCACAGCAGCAGAGAAACCAAAATGTGTAGAGACACAGCAAACTGGAAATTGAAGAGAGAAATAACATTAAGTTCTGCAGATTCAAGAGTTGCAGAAACGAAAATAAAGTCTACATTATTATCATTACCATAATTGCAAGGGTCCACCAGGCCCTGGTGGAGGTGGGGGACCTGGCGGGGGTTCAGGATCCATCTCCAGATATCAGCAGGACGCTGGGGGAACTCAAATGATTTTACTTCTTACCGTTAAAGATGTAACCTTTGGTCGTGCTATGATTGCGTTAAATTCTTCGTTCTTAAGTGGAAGAAATTAATAATATCATT